TTTTGAACAATTATCGAATGGTGTTTCTAGTTTGCAAATGTGTTGTGAACATTGAAATGTGTTTTTTGCAATTATTGAATTGTGTTTCCAGTTTGGAAATGTGTTGTGGACTTTGGGGGGTGTTTTCTAAGTTGAATTGTGTTGTGACACTTCTGGGCCACCGTAGTAATTACAGAGACGGACTCTTAAGAATTCTGGGAGCAAAATCCAGAAATAAAAATTTCCTGTGCATGTCAAATATAAAACTTCGTGTATATGTAATTTCAGAGAACGTATGGTGCCACACATTCCGATAAACAATGGACCTTTCCCCTTATAACTAAAATTTTGATCTAGACAAAAATTTCATCACAACTTGAAAGAGCATCACAAAATTAGTAATATTCCAAAGTTTCGTTGCGAAATGTTGTAAAATGCGGATAATATAGCCCTGCGAAGTTTGCCGTTTTTCAGTCATTTTGTATTACGCACGGGAAATTGACAGCCCAATCGGGTGTTGGGGCATCAATTTCCCGTGCGTAATACAAAATGACTGAAAATTGCAAATTTTGCAGGGCTATATTATCCGCATTTTACAACATCTCGCAACGAAACTTTGGATTATTACTAATTTTGTGATGCTCTTTCAAGCTGTGATGAAATTTTTGTCTAGACTTGTCTAGATCAAAATTTTAATTATAAGGGAAAATTAAGGTCCATTGTGGTGAACAATCTCGACTTGCAAAACGCTTTGTAAACAATAAGTAAATATTTTGTCAAAACTTTCCTGGCAGCCGTGCTGCTTGCATGCGTAAGTAATCTACATTAGTAATCTACCAGAATTTAATTTCTTTCTGAACCGCCAGATGCATTTCAAACGTAGTTAAATGTTAAAATTGAAAAATCAAACTAAAACAAAGCAACTTTGGGGCATACGCTTTCATCTCCTATTCGCGACATAGAAAATAATTGCCTCTTAAAAAGATCCTTTGCTTCCTTGTTTTTTCTATATAGTTTAACTTGTATATAGTTTAATTAATGTGTATACTCTTTATAATTTGTAAATAGTTATTGATTGTGTGACGCCCCTCATGAAAAGCAGCTCACGTTGATCGAGGCTAGCGTGTTTAAATAAAGTTTTACCATACCATCGGAAGGGCGTATCAGGGGTGGAAAATTTTTTTTTTCTTTCTGGGAACATGGGTCAAAGGCTAGAAATTTTCTTAGGTTGGTTTTCATATGCTTGTGCATCGCAATGGTTGTCTGTTATATACCACGTTTATGAGTTATGATCAACTAGTAAGGATCCAACGCTTAACTAAGTGTCCTATAATCTTATTTATTCCATCACTTAACTTTTTGTATGATTTGCATTTTTTGTTTTAATGTTATATATTATTATAGCAGTATAATAATAGCATTTGAAGCTTATATTTCATTGCATATTTTATTTACAAGTTTACTATTTAATTTGCATTTTATTGGAGACTTTGCAGAGCATATATTTACCATTTTACCTCATGATCGTGATTGCAGGGGTGGGTTACATGCAGAATTAATTTCTGTTGCTGATGTTAGTGTGTATACAGTGTAAATAAAGTAGAATAGTTGTAAGTTGAGTAAACAGAGTTATCTCAAAATGTTGAAATATTCTCTGGAAAATTTTCTGCAAACTCTCAACTCAAAAAATTTCTGGGAACTAGGTTCCCAGGTTCCGATACTTTTTCCACCTCTGGGGGTATCCATAATTAAGAACTGTCTGTGCCAGTGTAGGTATAGTGCCAATAATAACAAGCTTTCGTTGGTAGGGATGCAACTTCCTGAAAAATACAAGGAGAAATTCGACGTTTCGAGCGAAGGCCCTTATAAATATATGAACAAAAGATATCGTCGCGAAGTATATGAAATATGTATATGAAATTATATGAGATAAAGAAACGTTGCGAAGTTAGTAGCCAGTCGCATAGTCTATTAAGATACGATGGCTTGGAAACTAAACAGAAGTCATTGTATTATGTTTTGTCTGAGTCTATGTTAATTTGTGCACGGTGATTGAGCTCATTGTATTTTCGTATAATTAAGTAACCGTCCAATAGGGATAGCTGAGATGAAACATGTAACCACGATCAATAATACTTTAAATATTATTCATCGTGGTTACACGTTTCATCTCAGCTAGATCCTATATTGGACGCGGTTACTTAAAGATGATGTCCACTCCTGTGCACATGCGCGAACTTTGTTTACGTTTTGAACTGCTATATTTGTAAAATATGATATAGTAACTGAATATCTAACACTTTTCTGGTTCGCTATACTTGTAAATGAATATAAACTGTACGTTTCGTTTCAATGTTGATATCTGGGGGTCTCCCTTTGTTATGAGCAGAACTGATGCGCAGAACGGAGTGGACATTATCTTTAATGATACGAAAATATAACGAAGTTGAGACAAAGGATTTCTGCATGTTAACATCAAACAAAAGTTTTCTATTTTGTTGCTTTGAAGTTTGCCGGGCTTCTAGACCATCATGTCTTGACAGACTATGTCAGTCGTTAGTAGTTAGTGGCCTTTCGTCAGGACGTTTGGCTATACTAACTTCCCGACGAAGGGCCTTCGCTCGAAACGCCGAATTTCTCCTGAAAAAATACATTTTTCAGGTAGTTGCATCCCTACCAACGAAAGCTTTGTTATCCATAATTAATCCGTCTACTAGAAAATACATGCATGCAGAAACCCTCGCCTTGCAGACAAAACTATTTTATTTTCCGAACGTGAAGTATTTTAAGTTGTTGTCATGGTAACACGATAATTTTTTAAGAATATTTTTACAAATGAAAAATCCCCTATAAATATCACTTTTAATTACAAAATTATCAATTTCCTAAACATATATATGTTAGGTATGTTATTATACGTAATATAAGCTTGAATTTAAGGTAAAATTCAACCACAAACGCTTCGCAAAACGTTTTAAAATGTTCTTTTACTATAGAACAAAACTGCCTTTATCGATAAACTTTGAGTTCGAAATAAAATGATTCCAAATTCTCCCATGCAAATAACTTTGCTTAGTATAATAAAAAGTGTAATCAATAAAGAAACACTGAAATAATACGCTGTCTTGTTTCATATTTATGCACAACGATCGGCTTTTAAAGTAATTACAGTAGGTATGTTATTATACGTAATATTATAAGCTTCAATTTAGGTAAAATTCAACCACAAACGCTTCGCAAAACGTTTGAAAGTGTTCTTTTAATATAAAACTAAACTGCCTTTATCAATAAACTTTGAGTTCGAAACAAAATTATTCCAAATTCTCCCATGTAAATAACTTTGCTTAGTATAATAAAAAGTGTAATCAATAAAGAAACACTGAAATAATACGCTGTCTTGTTTCATATTTTATATACGCAACGATCGGCTTTTAAAGTAATTACAGCCGAGATTACAGTATATTAAAAGCAAACAATGCATCAATATTTAAAACAAACTTACCTTCGTTAACGTCTGCACCTTTACTTCCTTCTTTTAGCAATCCTCTTGCCTTTATTTCATCAAAAATCCTTTGCAATTTACAAAATCTTGCACAAATGAAATATATTTGCAAGAAATCATTAAATCAATTTCGCTGTCGTCAATCGTCATGCAGCCGTTATAATCCCAATTTTAAATTGGACCAATCAGTGTTGGCTATTCATTACAGTCCGTTATATTATG